CCCCAAAACCCCAAAACCCCAAAACCCCAAAACCCCAGTAAGTCATTTATAAAGTCAGCTTTATATTATATATAAATGGAGACTGATTCTGCACAGTAGGTTATCTACCTGGAAATTGCCGAGTTCTGAGATTAGTGACTCCAGATTCTCACAATTTTATTGATATTATTAGAGGTTTCTAGAAGTTAGACTTTTTAAATATGCAAAAATTACTTTACCAAAATAGAACTTCTCTAGGAGAAAGGGGCATTGAAATTAACTTTGAGTAAAATATTAGTACTCCATTCTGAGCATGGAATTTGATAAAATCTCATGAAATAGATCAAGCAAGAAGACCCCGTACATAGATTTCAATGCAACAGAAGGAATGAAGCCATTAGAGCAATCGAATAGTGATCAAAACTGAGACCCTGAGAGTATTACAGAAGAAGAAATTGCTCTAATAGATGAACACGTTCTTAAAAATATTCACCGCAACAAGTAAGTATTCTTGTAACCTCTTTATAGATCTAAGTTAATCTCTGGCACTGAAGAGTAAATTGGTGTCGACATAAACTTTAGCCATTTAGAAAAGCTGATTAAAAACCGGAACTCAGAGATCTTTAAAGAAAGTAATAATAAAGTCCAAAAAGAAATCAAACAAAAAATGGAAAATTTGCAGAGACAAATAGAGACCAAGCATAAGAGACATCAAGAGGACAATATGAATAAACAAAAAGCTGCTCTAGACTTGATAAGAAAGAAGTAAACTAGGGTTATAGGGTTGGCTCATAGCTTTATAGAACAGAGATTAGCAAAATCAAGGCACTTCAAAAGTTCTCCTCAAACATAAGATACAGCGATAATGATCCCGAGCTTGGCCAATATTATTCAGAATCGTACCAAAATTGAGGCCTTAATTTTCCTGAAATCTCCAGAGAATCTAATACCAATGAAGATGATGATATCTATGAGGAAGAATTTGAGGCTATTACAGAGGAAGCTAAAGATCACAATACTAGTCAGACTGGTAAAGAGCAAAGCCATGAAGAAAATTCGCATTCATCAAACTTGGGTACAAATGAACAAAATTCAAATGAGAAAACCGACATAAAAGTAATCCCTCAGAAGATTATTGAGGAAGAAAAAGCTCCACCAGCCAGAAAAGAGAGCTGGAAGAAGCAGACTATCACTGAAACTATTGTCGAGAAGAGACAAAATAAGATTGTAGAAGAGGTTAGAAAAGAGTCCAATCTCCCAAAATTGCCTCCTGTGAGTCCAAATGTTCATCACCAAACAAAAGCAAGACTGATACAAACAGCAGATGATATCAGAATGCCTAAGATTGAGAATAGAGCTAACTTAGATAACTCTCAAAATGTGTCCGCAAGAAATATTTTTACCCCAAAGGGTAATAACTTCGCTGTAAAAAGACCTTACGAGGATATTTTCAAGATCAAAAATCCGGCAAGCATGTATAGAACGATGAATGGTGTGATTTCTCCCAATAGAAATAAGGTAAGCCCCACTATCTCCAAATTGTCATTCTATAGATTAACCTGAACAAGAATAATACGTTAAAGAAAAAGTACTCTCTCAATTCAAATGAGAATAAGAGTTTGCATACTACTCTTGAAGTGACAGGAGACAACATGTTTTCCACTTTTAGAAGAGATACATATCAAGGTAACGTTTTCTATCAATTATTAGACCATCAAATTCTTGAGAAAATTGTAGAAGACGATACCTCAGGTAATATTTGAGCCTCATTTCATAGAAGACGCAATCATCGAGTGATCTAATGAACAGGATGACTGGAAAGAATCAGCTCATCTAAAGGCAATTAAGAAGAATAATGCTCCTAATAAGAACTTTAAGAATCACAGGAGATACAAGTTCAGTGCAAAAATCCAGCCACAAAAATAAGATCAGAAATGAAGTGAAGACTCCTGTTCATAAAACAAGGACAGCTATTCATCTTAGTTTCGGAACAAATCCTGGCAAGACTCATCATGCTGAAGAGCAGGCAAACTCATATCTTTCTCCAAATAAGACAACAAGTCTGAAGACTGCAAGAGGTCTTAAGGAAAGAAGGTTCCCAAAGCAGAAAATCAATAAATTCAGCCATTTATTTGACAAGGGGAACTACAACACAATGAGGATGAATAAGTCTAGATATTCAATGGAGAACACGAGCTCTGTTAGGCCACCTACTTATAAAGTTAGCCCAAGAGACTCTAGGGTGAAATCAAGAGATTCAAGAGGCGCTTTTAAATATCCCAGAACTCCTGCTAATTTTTCTGTTAAGAAAATATCCGTTACTAGAGAAAGCAGTGTTGAAGAAGTGAAACAATATGATATCAAAGCTAGTAAGGCTATTTCTCCTCTTTATCTTATCACATTTATAGATAAAGGAAAGATAATAAGAAAAATGGTCAGGCCAGGCATCAGAAAGAATTCAAAAATCCGAGATACACGAAAGTTGACCACCTCAGCATCCTTGAAGGTGACTGGTGTAGGAGGAGACACTAATAAATCAAAAGAGATCCTTCAATCAGCTCGCAAGGTAGAAAAGTTTCCTCATAAAAAGATAATAAAGACGATTATAACCAAAGTAAATATTTACTCTAACAACAGATCTGATTTCCAAGAGGTAAGAAATGCAAAACAGAGAGAAAATTAGTATTAGATCAAATCAACAATGAAGAGTGGACTTACTTCGCTGTCCTGTTCGGCAAAAAGGTATTAATTCTGGCTAATAGCTCTAGAAACTTTTGAATAGTAATAATTTTAGAGGCGTCTATAAGCATGCGTGCGGTACTCATCTACTTAAGATATACGGAGACTCCTTTCTTCCAAATAAAATATCCTGAAGAATGATAGAGAGTTTCTTCAAATATGATCGTGTGCTAAATAAATTAATGCCTATTCCAACTCAGAGTAGGATTAGTGAGCAGTTCCATGCTTTCATATTGAATCCTAAAAAACAGACTACGCTTGACAAGGCAGACGATATGATTCAAAATATTAATAAATTAGTAGAATAAGTTTAAATATTTCAATTTAAGATTTTTCTTAAGGGGTTTTGGGGTTTTGGGGTTTTGGGGTTTTGGGGTTTTGGGG